CCTACAGACTCTAACAGAAGCATAAACCCCTCCTGGTTCTCAAGCCTCCCTGTCTTTGGACTAGAACACAATTGGCTCTCCTGGATCTGCAGCTTGCTGACTGCAGAGCCTGGGGCTTATCTGCCTCCATTTGTGTACATGTACACACACATACCTACTGGTTCTGTTTCTCTCTGGAGAACCCTGACTCCTATATCAGGTAAATATTGTCTAAATCCTGAGGTAAAATTCTTCCACAGCTGTGAAATTCACAGCTGTGAAGCCAGATTCAAGTTATCTGCTTCAGTACGATGGTGGGCACAGGCATGGGATGGACAGTCCCATTATAAAAGGGAGACATCAGGAGGAAAGAGGTCATAGGTCCCAAGCAAGTCCTAAACCTAGCAGGGAAAATTTCACTAGATTTTGGGGCTTGGAGAATAATCTTCTTTGGGACTATGCTGTATCCTCTGGCTCACAGGGGTGGTGGCCCTACCTTCCGTGGCCAAGAAGTTACTGGCTCTGGTTCCTTGACCTAATAAGCCCATGATGGCAGTAGTAGTCTCACTGGACTCTGACTTGCCTTTGGGGGCATTCTTCCCTCTTCTTAAAAGGTAATGCCTGTTTGCAGAGTGCGTCAGTTGGGTAGGTTCATTTCATACCAGTAGAATTCCAGAAGTCCAACAGTCTTCCTTCATTTTGTCCATCCCTGTCTCTTTGGTGCAAACTGGCAGTGTTTCTGCTCTTAAAAGTTTTTATTTTTAGTAACTTTGTTGGCTTCCCAGACAATTCACAGGGATGCAAAACACTAGAACACAATTTGGCCCAGTTCTTTGCCACTTGATAACAAGATCACCTTTCCTCCAATTTCCAATAAGCAGCACATTTCCTTGTAAACTTCTCCAGAGGCATTTCAACATTCTTTTTTCTAGCCACATTGTTTATGATGTGTATTTATTTTCTGACAACAAAAGCTTTCTCTACAGCTCTCCTCTTGTCTTTCTGTGCCCTCACCAGAATCTCCTTTGCTGTTTATATTTCTGTTAACTGTCTCTTCCAGGCATCTAGGCATTTTCTGTCAAGTGCCTCAAAACTCTGACAGCCTTTACCTGTTATCCAATTCCACAGTCATTCTACATTTTTAGATATTTGCTATTGTAATACCCCACTTCCTGGTACCAAGATTTGTATTAGGCTTCTCCAGAGAAACAGGACCAATAGGAGATATATACGTACAGATACAATGCGGGTTCATAGCTGTGGAAGAATTTTACTTCAGGGTTAATCAAACTAACTCTCACCCCTACCTAATTTAGATGATATTTACATGATCTGTTAGGTTTCTCCAGAGAAACAGAACCAGTAGGGAGTGTGTGTGTGTGTGTGTGTGTGTGTGTGTGTGTGTGTGTGCGCGCGTGCACGTGTACATAAATGCAGGCAGACCAGGCCCAGGATCTGCAGTCAGCAAGCTGCAGATCCAGGAGAGCCAGTGGTTGTAGTTCTAGTCCAAAGGCCGGCAGACTTGAAATCTAGGAAGGGCTGATGCTTCTGTTAGAGTTTGTAGGCAGGAAAAAACTGATACCCCAGCTCAAAGGGACCATATATGGATGTGTATACATGCATATATATAGAAAGACAAAAAGAGATACTGATCCTCAGGAATCTGTCACAAAATTATGAGGCTGGCAAGTTGGAAATCTGCAGGGCAGGCTGGCAGGCTGACCATTCTGACGGGAGTGGATGCTGCAGTCTTGAGTCAGAAGGCCGTCTGGAAGCCAGATTCCTTCTTCTTTGGAGGGTGTGGAAGACCAAAGTCTTTTAAGGCCTTCAGCTGACTGGATGAGGGCTTCCCACTTTATGGAGACTGATCTGCTTTACTCAAAGTCTCTGATGTTGTTCCTATCTAAAAAATACCTTCACAGCACCATCTTGACTGATGTTTAACTAAACAACTGGGTACCATAGCCGAGTCAAGTTGACATCTAAAATTAACCGTGATAGTCTATAAGAAAAAATCCTGTTGATGGTGCTTCTCATAGGCAGTTGTACCAGGAAAATCCTCTTTAGTTTTATCTAATGGGTTTTAGGTAAGTTGTGCATTGGATGCCTGTGAGAAACTTTTAGCATCTGTGGTTAAGATGTACAATAATCTTTCTAGTTTAATGGCTTTTATTTTAAAAACTGAACATTTAACCCATTTTAAAGATGAGAAAAGAGAGGCTTAGTAGTTAGCATATACACGGCAGAGCATGTATTTGAATCCCCGTCTGCCTCACTTATCCGCTGTATTATACTGTCTGTTGGTTAGTTATGGGTGTAGATGGTGATTGTGTAAGACGTGTTTGCTTGGAGGAAATGCAGGATGTTTCAGTGTAGTGTTATGAAGTGGTATCCCACAGTGAAGGAGAAGTAGAAAGTATCTGTCTTTATAAGGTCAGATTTTTTTTAATTTTTAGAAAAAAGTTAAAATATAGAAAAGTACAAAGACTAAGATGATGAACATCTTTGTGTCCACGAACCAGAGTAAGCAGAGTATGTGTTTCAGATTTTGTAATAAAACAATGACTGATGCCAGTGAGACTCCCGTACATCTTCTTGATCCCTTTCCTCTCTTCCACACCTTCTTTTCTTATACAGACAAAACACTTAGGAATTTGATACATTTTCTTTCATGTTTTTATATATGGGTATATTAAGACCAAAATCTTTTTCCATTAATGGTTTTATTTTATTTTTTCTTAAAATTTTTTGATGTTTTATTTTTTATATTTGAGAGAGACAGCGAGCAGGGAAGGGGCAGGGAGATGGAATCTGAAGCAGGCTCCAGATTCTGAGCTGTTAGCACAGAGCCCGACGCAGGGCTCAAATCCACAAACCGTGAGATCATGACATGAGCCAAAGTTGGATGCTTAACTGACTGAGCCACCCAGGCACCCCTAATGGTTTTATTTTTAAAAAATCATACCACATTTCTTATATATACCACATATATAATTTCATACTCATAAACAGGATTTTAAAGCCATAAGCCATATAATAATTGCTAATATTTATTTTTTCTTTAGTAAATTGAGGATTTTTTAAATTTATTTATTGCTTAATTTACACCCAGGTTAGTGTATATTGCAACAGTGATTTCAGGAGTAGATTCCTTAATGCCCCTTACCCATTTAGCCCATCCCTCCTCCCACAAGCCCTCCAGGAACCCTCTGTTTGTTCTCCATATATAAGAGCCTTTTATGTTTTGCCCTCTTCCTGTTTTTATATTATTTTTGCTTCCCTTCCCCTATGTTCATCTATTCTGTGTCTTAAAATCCTCATATGAATGAAGTCATATGATATTTGTCTTTCTCTGACTAATTTTGCTTAGCATAATACCTTCTACTTCCATCCACGTAATTGCGAATGGCAAGATTTCATTCTTTTTGATTGCCGAGCAATACTCCATTGTGTTTGTGTGTGTGTGTGTGTGTGTGTGTGTGTGTGTGTGTGTGTATACCATATCTTCTTTATCCACTCATCTGTTGATGGACATTTGGTCTCTTTCCATACTTTGGCTGTTGTTGACAGCGCTGCTCTAAACATTGGTGTGCATGTGCCCCTTTGAAACAGCACACCTGTATCTCTTGAATAAATACCTAGTAGTGCAGTTGCTAGGTCTATTTTTAATTTTTTGAGGAACCTCCATACTGTTTTCCAGAGTGGCTGTACCAGTTTGTATTTCCACCAGCAGTAGTAATTGCTGATATTTATAAAGCAGCCTTGATTCTAAGAACTCTTCATGGATTAACTCATTTAATTTTTATAACAGTCCCATGAGTTTTATACTCTTACTTTTCCCATTTTACAGATGAAGGGATTGAGGCACAAAGAGATTAAATAATTTACCCATGGGTCACAGGCTGTAAGTGGCAGAGCCTCTGACTCTTATAGATAGTATTGTTGTAAACGTTAAAAAACAACTTAGTAAATGCTATCATATTGTACTTAACATTCAAAAACTTGGGTTTCACTTAAACATTGTTCTTGAGATTCCGTTCATTTTGATAAATACGGGTATAGTTAATTCCATTAAGAGTTCTGTGCTTAAATGGTTTCTGTCATATGACCATACCATCTTTTTTTGTCCATTCTCATATTAGTGGATATTTAGTTTTGTGTCTTACAATTCTGTGTATTATAAGAAGATGGTGCAGTGAACATCTGTGTACTTGTGCACTCACATGAGAGTCTCTCTCAGCCACCCACCTGGTAGTAGGGTTAGCTCAGTCAAAAGGTATTTACGTTTTCAACTTCTCTAGATATTGGTAAGTTTTTCTCCTAGATGTGTATGTCTCAATTCACAGTTTACGTTCCCACTAGTGAGACACTGAATGCACACAGATGATGGCCAGACCATATATGAAAATAGAACTCTGACCTGCAACCTGCAGAAACCTGCCTAGAAAACCAACCCCTTATCTACACTTGCAGCCCAGGAAGCCAACTTGCTGTGAACCAGACTTGCAGGAAGTTAGTGTCTTAATTTGCATTTGACTGATTATTAGTCAGATGGAACCCATTGTATAAGACAGTCCTTTCCAGAAATTACCTTTTAGAATAGGTGAGGATGCAAATATCAGATGGTTTAACTTTATTCGTTTCTGAAGAGAAAGGAAGAAGCCTAGAGTCATTATCTTAGACTTTTTTTTTAAGCAGAGTCTTTACTTTTTTCAAACTAAATTTTAAGTAGGACCCTAATAAGCAAGATGAAATCTGGAGCTCCTCAGGTAAAATAAAGTCAGTGGTACAGCTCTACCTGCCTTGCCTCCTCCCCTTCCTACCTGGCTTCCCTGCTCCCCGATCACCTGAAACTCTCGTGGAATCCTAGGGCTGGGCAGTAACCTACGGATGCCTCATGGTGCGAGAATTTGATGAAATTCCACTTTTAATCTCTCTCAACCTCTGTGTTAGAAGGTGAACTTGATAAACTCTGTAAGACTTTGGGCTAAATGTGTTCTATTTCTTTGGTCTTCTGGCAGGCAGGAATTCGTGGATGCTTATGTGAATTATGTCTTCCAAATCTCAGTTCACGAATGGTACACAGCCTTCTCCAGTGGCTTCCTAAAAGTGTGTGGTGGCAAGGTGCTCGAGCTCTTCCAGCCTTCAGAACTAAGGGCTATGATGGTGGGAAACAGCAACTACAACTGGGAAGAACTAGAAGAGGTGAGCACAAACGGCACTGTCTTTACCTCCAAGGAAGCAGCAGTGGCCTGGGTAGCTGTGCCCAGAGCATGGTCTTCCAAGTGTTCTGTGGTTGAATAGGAATCAGAGGCTTCCTGTATCTCAGGGGTTCTTTCTTAGTCTCAACTGCAAATGGTACACAAATGTATGTCCTCTATACATGTATGTCCTCTCCTTTAAGATAGATTTTTTTTTTTCTTTTTGTCTTTTTTGGGCAGACTGCCATCTACAAGGGTGATTACTCAGCCACACATCCCACTGTGAAACTATTTTGGGAAACATTTCATGAATTTCCATTGGAAAAGAAGAAGAAGTTTCTCTGTAAGTATCAGTAATGTTAATATGATGTTTGTCCACACTTCAGTGTTGCATATGGTGTAGGATGATGTACTCCATAGGTTAAGGTCAACTCTTTTAAATGGAGAAGAGTAAATAAGGGAAATAATCTACACTTCTTGTCTTAATGGTATCTCAGGCAAACACAGCTTGTTACTCAGTATTTGTTGCCTAACAGGATGTGTTGAATCAAAGAAGAAAAACATTTCATTGATTTTTCCATTGCTCTGAAAATATTAGTTATTTTATATGTGATACCTTTAAATATTATTTTGATGGAATCTGATTAACTTCCCTTATCTCTCTAGACTTTTGAAGATTTTACAGTGCCCACTGCAGATATAACTGGGGAGATATGGTTTTTAATAGTTTTATTGAGATATATAATTCACAAAGCATACAATTCACCCAATTAAAGTGTATAATTCAGTGGTTTTTAGTATATTCACAGAGTTTTGAAACTATCAATAATTTTTAGAACATGTTCATCATCTTAAGAAACCTCGAACTCTTTAATCAATCCGCATTTCTTCCCAACCTCTCACAGCACCTCCTCCCCACTGCCACCAGTCTACTTTCTGGCTCTGTGGGTGTGCCTGTTTTGGACATTACACATACATGGAAGCCTATAATATATGGTCCTTGATCACTGGCTGGGTGGCATTTAAGAAGGGTAATATCTGGAAAGGAGAATGAAGCCGAGTTTAGGTGAACAAATTCAGCCATTCTATTCTATTTTATATTATTTGAGAAAGAAGGAGAACGAGTGGGGCAGAGGGGCGGTGAGGGGGGAGGGAGGCGGGGGGAGGAGAATCTCAGGCAAGCTCCACTCTCAGTGCAGAGCCCAACGCAGGCTTGATCCCATGACCCTGGGATCATAACCTGAGCTGAAATCAAGAGTCGGATGCTTAACCGAATGAGCCACCCGGGTGTCCCCAAATTCAGCCTTTTAAAAATAGTTGAAATCTTTGTGACTGTATATAATTGGACCAGAAATGAGCCGGTGAATAGTATAAAGTTTTTATCCATATAAAACAAAACAATAGGAGTTGAAAGGTAGTCCCTTTTGCTTTATAAGAATGAGCATATATTAATATTAATGCAGGATTTACCTCCACATTCTTGTGCTTCCATGGAGTAAGGATGGAGGAAGTTGGGCTCACACAAGAATGCTTAAAAAAAGCCCTGCTTCCCCTCTGCCTAGTTACATTGGCTCTTGGGAATCAGTGGCATATAAGTCAAATAGGTTAAAGTGTATCAAGGGAGCTCATAGGGCTATAACAACCAAGAGGAGCCTGCTCGTGGTCATGAGCAATGTTTCCTTAAAAAAACATTTTTCTCTTCCGAGATCATTAGACTTGTGGAAATTTTTAGTAACTACAGATTTTGGCAAGAATGTTTACATATCATAGCCTCAGGTAATAGGTTAGTTGAAAGCGCTCCTTAACCAGTGATTTGTTTCTAGTAATTTCCAGCAATTAACTCTGAGATTATGTAGTGCCAGAAAACAGAGAAAGACAGCTGCGTTGTTTTTTTGTTTGTTTGTTTTGTTTTGTTTTTGCCAAGTCACAGTGTTCCAAGAGTGAGATGTCTAACAGAATATCAGTGTCAGCTCTTCTGTTTTAAAAAAAATAGGGAAAGGAGCAAACAGATCCCAAATGGATATTCATTAGCTAAGGAGGGTTATATGCACTAGACACTTGGTAAGAGGAGACCTTGAGGTCACATAGGTTATAGTCTTCTTCCTGGTTTCCCCTAAGGTAAGCTCTTCTTTTCCTCTATCAGCAATTCCTTTCCTCTTGGATTCTGTGAAGGCTCATAACATTTATGAGGACATACATTTGATTGAGGCCATCTTTTATTTGAGGGCATTTTTGAGCATCTTTCAATTGGATGGATTATTTGTATCAGTATATAATCAGGGTCTGAAATTAGCCAGTGAGAAACAGAATTTTTATCCATATACAACCAAAAAACAGGATTTGAAAGGCAGTCTCTTTTGCTTTATAAGAACAAGCATGTATCAATATGAATGCCATCCATATTGGCACATGAAAGTGTACTTCTCAGGCGATCCACAGGGTGTCACACCTTCCTCTCCTTTCTGCGGAGAGCAGCTCCTCGTTGCGCAGCTGGTAATGCCGGTTCCCTTTCTCCTCAGTGTTCCTGACGGGCAGTGATCGGATCCCCATCTATGGCATGGCAAGCCTGCAGATCGTCATCCAGTCCACAGCCAGCGGGGAGGAGTACTTGCCCGTGGCCCACACTTGTTACAATCTTCTTGATCTCCCCAAATACAGCAGCAAAGAGATCCTGAGTGCACGGCTGACCCAGGCCCTTGACAACTATGAGGGGTTCAGTTTGGCTTGAGGCTCCCCAGCTTGCCCCAGATTTCCCTCCCTTCCTCGGTGTCCACATTGAGGCCCATACAGAAAACCATGGGGAGGGAGTTCTATTTTTTTATTGTATAAGTGAGTTGGGACTTTTGAATCCTGAACCCAGTAGATGTGTTTCTGGGCTTGTGAGCAGTAAGCAACCCTTTTGAAAAATCAGGGGTTAGGGATGGGGTGAAAAATTGGCTCTTAATATGGGAGGCATTTTTGTCTTTAAACCAAATTACCTAGTAGTGTTCCTTGCACTTGTGAGTATATTGCACTCTGCTGGATACAATGGCAGTGGAATTTTAAACTCTTACTTCCCAGATGTCTCTCTCAGCCCTGATATTTCCTCACAGTGCTTCCTGTCCTCTCTTCTCATTCCTCTGCAAGAATGATTTTGACTAATGTGTCCTTTCTCACCTGCACGTGCGGAACGTCTCCTTTCTCTGCAGACTTGGAAATGCTTCTGGCTTGTTGCAGCCCTACTGTAAGGACTAAAGGGGAAAGGACTACTTCAGAAATTCCCAATTCCAGGAAGCTGGATCTGGGTCCATTACTTTGGCTGAACTCTTGAGAATTTGTGGGAGCCTTTACGAACACATCTTGCTTTACAAGAAGTTATTGAGGGACTAGCAATCTCCCCCTGGCTCTGCCTGGACCTACTTAAAGATGTGTAGAGCAGCTTAGCGTTGCCGCTGAGCCAAATTTTGTTTTGTTATTCAGCCAAGTACCTTCGACAATAAGGTGAGGTGATAGACCACCCCCCTACCCCTTCAGTTATCTCGCTTCTGGAGCAAGTTGCTTCTCCAAGGAAAGTAGAAATAATAAATTTCTTGTCCTCTTTCCTTATCAATTTATACCTTCTACCACTTTCTCTTTTCTTCCTCTCCTTCCCTTTTGCTCTTACTTCATCCCATTGTTGTTACCTGACTTAATGCTCCCTTCCTCTCCTTCTAGTGGATGCATGCAGTCTATTTTTTTAATTTCTATTTAAATTGCAAAATTTCTATTTTTTTTCCTTTTCCCTAATTGCTAACACTTAAGGACATTCTATATTACGGATCTTTTGTTTATTGCATTTGAAATGTTTGTTTACAGTGGGATTTCAGGGGGGATTGTGTTTAAAGCAAATATATGTATCAAAAATAATGACATGCTCAATCTTCTTCATCATGGGATAAGAAAATTCTACATGATCAAAGAATCCATGTCAGCCTAATTTTAAATTCCTAGTCACTAGAGGAAAGATTTATTTATATAAAATGAAGTATTTATGAACCGTGTGATACAGCATCAAATCTCAATGAAGGATGTAGATTTTGCTTTTTTTTTTTTTGGTTTTAAAAGTTATTTCAATGGCTAAATTGGTAGTTTTTTCAGTCTTTATAATACAGGAATAAAAAAGATATACAGTTATATGAAATGTTTATTTTCTATGTGTGTGCATATAGTTCAATATTATGCAATAAATTTGGTGTTTTAACTTAAAACTATTTCTTATTGTATTTGCAGAACGAGTAGCTTGCTTTCAATAGAAGAGTTATCTACTCAAATAATACAAAGTTGAATTTGGTTCCAGTCATAAGAAAGTAAAAGCAAGCACTAGGGGAATGGGAAAGAAAGCAGGGGCAGTACCCAGGATCGGGGAAGCAAGTAGCCTTATGAATGGATGGGATTTCTGAAGGTTGTGATGAGTGAAAAGGCATTTTGCACGGAGGAGAAGGCCTTAGCAAAGGCTTGAACATGGGAGCATATTGAAGAGAGCATCAGAGGAAATAGAATAATGGTAAGTAAGACTGAGGAGAAAGAAAGTAGCTTTCGTGCTGAGGAACCAGGCTAAACATTGGAATTTGAGTTGGTAGCCAAGCAGGATTTGTCAAAATGTTCAGAACTTTGGGGTGGGGTAGGAGGCAGTGATAGGACTTGAGCCTGGTTTTAAGAAGAAAACTGTGGATGGGGAGGGTGCATGTGGAGGAGGAGTCAGTCCCTGCCACTCTGAAAGCAGTGAGAGTGGCAGCAGCGGAAGTAGAAGAGTGCATGGACTTCTGTTAAGTTTCTCAGGATCCACATAAGAGTGAAAACATATGGTATCTGTCTTAACAGAAGACCATGGGGGAGGGGAAGGGAAAAAAAAAAAAAAGAGGGAAGGAGCCAAACCATAAGAGACTCTTAAAAACTGAGAACTGAGGGTTGATGGGGGGTGGCAGGGATGGGGTTGGGTGATGGGCATTGAGGAGGTCACCTGTTGGGATGAGCACGGGGTGTTGTATGGAAACCATATTAAAAAAAAAAAAAAAATGCATGGAGGGATAGTCCAAGATGGCAGCTCAGGAAGACCCTGAACTCACTGCCTGTATGGACACACAAAGCCTATACCTATCTAGAGAGATAACAAGAACCCTACTCCCAATGCTGTGAATTGCAGCAGGAAGGACAGTACTAGGGACTGAGTAGATTTGTCTGTCCTGGGGCACAGAAAAAAGCTGTGGCTTAAGTGGGCAATTAGAATATAAAGGAACTAACCCTCCACCAAACCATGGGATGTTGGAGAAGCTGGCAAGTGCCACTGTTTATGGCCTCTCCTCCACCAGCATAGGAAAGAGCAGTATCTGGATGCCCTAACCACCCCACTGCCCTCAGCAAGTCCTGAGCCCCAGACCACACCAGCCCTGGCTACCCTGGTGCATTGGGAAAAAAACACCACAGTTTAATGAGCAACTACAATATGAACGAATGAGCCTTAGAGCTCTACCAAACAGTGGGGGAGCTGCAGAATACTCTTTGGAGTCTAAGAGGCAGGTGAGTACCATTGTTTACATTCTCCCTCCACCTTGATAGTGCACATAGAAGTAGGGCCAGGCCATCCCCTAAAGGAGACTGCACAAGGTGGCCCCAGTATGGCATATACTGGGACACCCCTGGACAACACCCACCATAGAACTATAGCGGTCTCACCAAGGTGCAAAGTATCCCAGAATACCCCAGGCCTTCACCTATTTTGGCTCAAGTTGTCTTGCCAGAACCCTGGGGAAGGAGTACCCCAAGACCTCCCAGCATGGCACACCTCAGCTCCACTTACCACACCTAGGTACTCCCAGTATGGAATACCCTTGACCCCTTTGCACAAGCTTTACCCACTTTGGCTTTGGGCACACCCTGTGCGGAGTACCCTGGGACCCCTCAACCTGTGCCCACTCCAGTTCTCGCCATCCCATCAGGACTGCCCCAGTGCTGAGTGGCCCAGGGACTCTAGTCTGCACCTGCTACCGCTCTAGCTGGCTAACCAAAGTCAAAAGGCATGTGTAATCTACATGGGATGACCATACACAAAGCCATTCCTTCAGGTCTTAGAGAAGTTGCTGTTCTGCCTGATTCATAGAAACACAGAAAGTCAAACAAAATGAGGAAACAAAGGGATATGCTCTAAATGAAAGAACAAGACAAACCTTCAGAAAAAGAACTAAATAAAATGGAGATAAGTAACCTGATATGGTGTTCAAACTAATGGTCATAAAGATGCTTATCGGACTTCAGAAAAGTGTACGTGAATTGTGAGACCTTCAACAAAGAGATGAAAATTATACAAGAGAACCAATCACAGTTGAAGAATAATTGTGAAATTGTGAAAAATACTCCGGAGGGAATCAACAGTAGATTAGAGGACACAAAGAATGGATCAGCAATCTGAAAGGGTAATGGAAAGCATGCAAGCTGAACATCAAAAAGAAAACAGAAAAGGAAATGAGGCTAGGTTAAGGGATCTCTATCAGAGTGTGAAGTATAGTAACATGCATATTCTAGAAAGTCCCAGGAGAAGAGAGAGAAAAAGGAGAAAACTTAATAGCTGAAAACTTCTCTAATCTTGGGAAGGAAATAGATATGTAGGTCCAGGAAACACAGAGAACCCCAAACAAAATGAACCCAAGGAGATCCACACCACGACATATAATAATTAAAATGTCAAAGATTAAAGATAAAGACAAAATCTTAAAAGCAGCAAGAGAGAAACAACTAATTACATACAAAGGAAACTCCATAAGGCTATCAGCTGATTTTCAGCAGAAACTGCAAACAAGAGAGTGGTATGATCTATTCAAAGTGCTGAAAGGAAAAAACCTACAACCAAGAATACTCTACCTGACAAGGTGATCATTCATAATCACAAGTTTCCCACACATACATAAGATAAAGGAGTTCATTACCACTAACCAGTCTTACTAGAAATGTTCAAAAGATTTTTTTTTAATTTAATGTATTTATTTATTGAGATAGAAGTGCAAGTGAGCGAGGAGCAGAGAGAATCCCACAAGTGACAGAGAAGTGGAGCTCACCCGGGGCTTGTGTGTTACCCGAAGAAGGGCTTGAGCTCACCTGAAGTGGGGCTCATGCTCACCTGATGTGGGGTTTGAGCTCACCAGACATGGGACTTGGTCATGAGATCATAACCTGAGCGGAAGTCAGATGCTTAACGACTGAGCCACCCAGGCGCCCCCAAGGGATTCTTTAAGCAGAAAAGGAAAGGCCATAATTAGAAGAAAACTGTGAAGGGGGAAAAAAAAAATGTATGAGTAAAAGCAAACATACAGCACTTATAAAACCAGTGTGAAGGTTAAAAAACAAAAATAGTAAAATCCATGATACCTGAGAAATTAGTTAAGAGATTCACAAAACAAAGGATATAAAATATGACCTACATAAAATGTGGAGGTAGAAAGTAAAAATCTAGTTCTTGTGAGAATTTGCTTAAGTGCTCATCAATATAGATAGTAAAACCTTGGGTTGTAACTTCTGTGAGTGTTCTGCAAGACGAGCAAACATTTGTAATAAATTTTAACTTGAAAAATGAACGATGTCTTGCAGTAGTAGTACGTGACACTGAGTGTCACATGATCACAACCGAGCCAGTGGTTCTCTCTCTCTCTCTCTTGCTGTGGGATTGTGGGTAATTGTCTCCCATGCTTGGATGCTTGGTCTCAGGCTGCAGTGTTTGGC